CTTTGACTATGCGGATCTTTGTCAGCAAGGTGATGTCTCTGCTTTTTAATATGCTATCTAGCATATTAATATTAACATATTAATATTAATATTAGCATATTAGGCTCAGCATACCTGAAGCTAATTTATTGTAGTTTGCCTGTGATATTCAGGTATAACATAACCTATTTCCATTTGCAGGGAAGCCATCAACACCAAGGACAACTTAACTCGATAACTCTGAGCAAGCAACCTGGTTTTCAGTTCAGGCTAGATTTGATTTTGATGTTGATGTTGATGCAAAACACCATCCATCCATTAGTGGCAGAAGAGGCAAGCCAGGGCCCTCCAGGACCAGAAGTCTGAAGCGGAACCAGCCCATACTCAGTGAAAGTCAGGATATTCCTAACTGGTGGCCTATCTCACTCATTGATTTGAACTGACCAATCAAATATTAGTATTCTTGCTCTCACTGTGCTGAACAGGTGGTGCCCCTTTTTGCCATCTAACCACCTTTTTCTCATGGGCAATTCTTGTTTCCAGCTTTCACACAGCACAAAGCTGGGGAAAGCGTAAGGCACAGGATTGGCAGAAGATACGGATAAGTCTTCCAATCTTTCAAGAGACCTGCAGCAGTGCCAGTGGGAGATTTCAGCTACCCTGACTTCTACTGAAAATGTAATTCTGCCAAGGGTCTGAGAGCCAATAGGTTCTGTTAGATCACAGATTGAACATGAGCCAACAGTGTGATGCAGCTGCTAAAAAGGCAAATGCTATTTTGGGAGGTACTAACAGCAGCATAGAGTCCATATCACAGGAACTAATTTTTCCAGCCTGCCTCGGACAGAGTAGAAATACCCACTTGAAAGACTGTACCCATTTCTGGCCATCACAGCCTAAAATGGTATCAACAAACTGAAACTCAGAGGACAGCCACCTAGATGGTGCAGGGACTGAAAACAAAATCCTTTGAGGGATGGTTAAAGGAGGTGGGAATATTTAGCCTGCAGGAGAGGACCAAGGGGAGACGTGACAGCAGTCTTCAGATATCTAAAGGGTAGGGAAGCTTTCCCCAGAGAGCAGGACCAAAATCAGCAGAAGTAGATTCAGCTTAGATAGGAGCAGGCTGCCTCCTAAGTGCTATACTCCCCCTCACTGGAGGTTTTGAACAAAGCCTGGGAAGTCATTTGTCAGAAATGCTTTAGCAAGTCCTGCACTGAGGAGGGAGTTGCACTAGATCGTCTCTGAGGCTCCTCCCTACCGCATGATTCTAAGGATGAGTAGGTGGTCTAAACCGAACCATTTCCTTCGAATGAAAAACAGAAATAAATATCTGGGCTTAACTGATGGGTAATTTATAGAGTACAAGTCTAAGAGACCAGTTAAATTCATCCCAATGACTATTTCAGTATAATTTTAAAACATCTGCGCTGCAACTTGAATGAAACATCCATTTTTAACATTGTGTCTTTTTTTTTTTTTTTAGGGATGCTGATTTTTATCCATTCCGCTACAATTGCTCAGGAAGAGGAGAGCGCCCGTCCCACCTGCCTATAGAGGAGCATCAAGTACCTGCATCGACTGCGCGGTGTCTTCCTCCAGCTTCTTAATATCTTCCCTCACCAAGACCATTTGCTCCTTCAAGAATGCCGCCTCTTGCTTCAAGGCTTCCACTTCTCGCAGAACTCTGGGCATGCTCTGGAGAGCCTGGTGGCTCGTCTCTGTGGGAAACCAAAAACCAGTGGGTCAGGCACAGCTACAACTTCACAGAACACGAGAGACAGAGGCTGCACCTCTGGGAAAACTGGAAGCTGGCAGCAAAAGCAGAGGATCCGTGCCACGACAGCAGAAAGGTGTCCCTGAGAAAAAGGTGGTTAGAGGGCCAAAAGGGGCATCACCTGTTCAGCACAGTGAAGGCAAGGATGCTAATATTTGATTGGTCAGTTCAAATCAATGAGTGAGATAGGCTACCAATGACCAAGAGTTAGGAATATGCAGAGTTTCATTGAGTGTCCATTCCTGCTTACTTCCCTATATTCTTCCTTTCCTCCTCCTCCTCACTTTTTTAGTTAATCAGACACTCAATGAAACTCTATTTCTTCTTGGGACCACATCTTTACCCTGAAGTAACCTGAGTGTGAAAATGAACCACCAGCTTTCTAAACCCCTATGGCAGATAGGAAACTTATGGAAAGTTATGTCACCAAACTGGCTGACATTTTCCAGTTCCCCAAAACTATTTTGCCAAGCAAGAAAGTCAATAAATGGGGGGAGGGGAGAATGGCTTTAAGTGAAGACAGCAGACTTTTCCAAGGACTACTGGCACAAAGAAGCAAAGGAATTGTATCCCTATTTGTGGGGGGAGGGGACCCTGTCATTATTCATTCATCCTAGCAATAAAATTCATTATACAAACTATAAAAAATATTAATCTTACTACTGAAATTCCAGTTTCTTCTCATTTTCAGGATGTGTCAAAAATAACAACATAAATGCTGTTTTACAATTTTTATTTCCCATTTCAGATATTTCATAATATTCATTATCACCAGAACCATAATTTCAGATATTTCATACTATCTGAAATTATGAAAAGCATGCAAGTTTCTTGTGAGAAAGCAGAGAAAACCACCTTCAAAATTTGGAAGTGGGAAAACCCTTTCCGAAGGCAGAAAAATAAGCTTAGGCTAACCACTTTTTTTGTTTAGTCCAGTCTCACAAATATAAATACTGTAATCATTGTATCACATAGTATCTGTCCTGATTGAACTGCAACGCTGGTATCCCAACAAGGCTTGTAGAAACATCTGAGTGCCAAAGATAATCTGAACTGTACGCATCTGCCCAAAGCAGCTGCTTCCACCATTGTGTAGCCCCTGAAACTTCCAAAGTGAACTCCCCTTCATGACAGCAGCATCACCTTCCACAGCATTGTTGACCTCTTGGATGAAAAGCTGCAACTTCATCACCAGGGTAGCTGCGTGAGCATCCACTTTGCCCGGGGCCTCCTGCTGCACAGCCCGGAAAGCCCCGTTCACCCAGGCCTTGACCTCAAAATCATCAGCCAGGAACTTAGAGAAATCCATGGTGGCTGCCACACTTTCCCCACTGCATGGGGCCCGTCAGCAACAGCAGCACCTGATGATACAAGGAAACAGACAGGAACAAAAGCCATAGTTCAGCAAGTGCTTTGTCTGCAGAACGCCTTCAATTTTAAAAAAGGTATGGGTGTTAGCGCTACAATGCATGGGCTTACATGCCATTTGTCTGGGGTAGCCTGAGGATTTCTGCCCTGAGCAGAGGATTGGACTAGAAGACTCCCCCCCAGCAAATCCTAGGATTCTATGAAGTTGGCAAGCAGTTTACTGTCTAGGGAGTCCTTGGTGCTCTCCGTGTTTGGTGGTTACCTTGCAGACATTTCATTACCTGGCTAGGTAATATCATTGGTGCTAGTGAATCTGGGGTTTGCTCCCTGTTTACATACAGTAGCTTGTGCTGGCAGTGTTGGTGGACCTTGGTAATTCCTTGATTAACTGACCATCTAGGCTGTGATCATGTGTGAAACAAGCACCCCAAATCTCTCTCTGGGTTAGTCAGAAGTAGAGTTTTATTGGAAGCGTTTGCAAAGGCGGGTGGGCTTCCTTGCAAATAAGAAGCCACGCCCACATACACACTCCGGCCTAATT